TGAGATATTTCAACAAATGGACACAAGTACTGGAGGTGGTTACTTATTTATGCCAAGAAATTGTGAAATTACCTCACCAACTGACTGGAAAATATTGATATTTGTGCCCATTACAAAGAAAGTTTATCCAACTGAATGTGGAAATTATCCAACAATATTATTAATATCAAGGAGCTGTGGTGGTATAGTGCCTAAGGCATTGACTGCTAACCAGAAGGCTGATGGTTCAAACCCACCAGCCACTCCTCAGAAGGAAGGTTGGGCAATATACTTCCATAGTGATAGCACCTCAGAAACCCAAGGAGGGGTCACTATGAGTCAGGTCTGACTCAATGGCACATAACAACAACATTATTAATAACATATACAAGTAAAATTTTGCTGAAGATAATTCAAAAACAGTTGTAGCAATATATTGACAAGGAACTTCCAGAAATTCAAGCTGGATTCAGAAGAGGATATGGTACAAGGGATATCATTGCTGATGTCAGATGGACGTTGGCTGAAAGCAAAGAATACCAGAAAGATGTTTACCTGTGGTCAAGTTGCATGGCTTAAAATCAGGAAGGGTGTGCATCAGGGTTGTATCCTTTTACCATACTTACTCAATTTATATGCTGTGGTAGTCAAGGTTATGTGTCAACTTGTCTGGGCCTGGTTTTGAGTGGCTGAGCAGCTGGATATAGTTATTCCTTATGATGAGATTGGTAATGAACTCCATGGTGGAATCTACTGGAGCAGCTGAGTAGCTGCTTTAGTAATGTAGTCTGCTTCCAGTATATAAGGAGTAGTTTTGGGAAATATCTCTAGCTTTCAGCATGCTTGAATCCTCCATGTAGCCGAGCTGTCATTCTGGAGCCTGCCATGTTGTTTGCTGATCTTGGGACTGTTAATGGACTTGAATCAGTGGCCTACTGTGTGGCTTGGTAATATCGGGACTGTGCCTTTCTCCTTGTCAACCTTGGGTTTTTCAGCCTTATCATCCAGCAGCTGCCTGAGTTAAGAAAGCCTACAACTTCAGTGGGGCAGAAGCAAGAGGCATAACTGAAGCCCAAGGTCGAGGGGCTTTCACCCAACCCCTAAAACCTGCACTTTCATTTCAGACTTCTAGCCACGAAAACTGTAAGAGAATAAACTCTTAAAGTCACCCATTTGTGGTATTTCTGTTAGAGTGGCACAAAGTAATCAAAACATGTTGATCAAATAATCCAAGAAGCTGGACTATATGAAAAAGAACATGGAATCAGGATTGAAGGAAGACTCATTAACAACTTGCAATATGCAGATCACAAAACCTTGCTTGCTGAAAGTGAAGAGGACTTGAAGCACGTACTGATGAAGATCAAAGCCCATAGTCTTCAGTATGGGTTACAACTCAACCTAAAGAAAACAAAAATCCTCACAACCTGCCCAATAAGCAAAATCATGATAAATGGAGAAAAGACTGAAGTTGTCAAAGATTTCATTTTATGTGGATCTACAACCAATACCCTTGAAAGCAGCAGTCAAGAAACCAGACGTTGTATTGCATTGGGCAGATGTGCTGCAAAAGATCTCTTTAAAGCATTAAGAAGCAAAGATTTTGAAGACTAAGGTGCACCTGATCCAAGCCATAGTATTTTCAATAGCCTCATATGTGTGTGAAAGCTGGAAAAGGAATAAGGAAAACCAAAGGAGAGTTGATGCCTTGAATTGTGGTTTTGGCAAAGAATACTGAAAATACCATGGACTGCCAGAAGAATGAACAAATCTGTCTTAGAGGTACTACAGCTGGAATGTTCTGTGGAAGTGAGTATGGTCAGACTTGTCTCACCTACACTGGTCATGTTGTCAGAAGGAACCATTCCCTGGAGAAGGACATCACTCTTGATAAAGTAGAAGGTCATTGAAAAAGGACATGACTCCCAACAACATGGATTGGCATGGTGGTCAAGTATAGCAAGGATTATGAGGATAGTGCAGGACCAGACATTGTTTTGTTCTGTTGTACATAAGGTCACTGACTTGGAGCCAACTCGACAGCACTTAACAACAACAACAGGGGGCAACTTATCAATAGCCAAAGACCTTGTGGGAATGAGTCAGTGGGCCTGGAGTATCAGGATCATAATCTCTGGGGGACACTATAACGCAGTCCACAGAGAAAGTATTCTATCTCCTACTTTGGTGGGTAGTGACAGGGCTCTTAAAATCTTGTGAGTGGCCATCTACAGCACAATGGAAGCAGCCATCAAGTTATCCGATGCCATATTGCAGGGGGGAAATCTGCTGCAAAAGATCTCTTTCAAGTGGTGAATTGCAAGGATGTCTCTATTAAGACTGAAGTGCACCTAGTCTGAGCCATGGCATTTTCAATTACCTCGTATGAATGTGAGAGCTGGACAATGAAGAAGGAAGACCAAAGAACAATTGATGCTTTTGAATTGTGGTGTTGGTGAAGAATACTGAAAGTCCCACGGACTGCCAAAAGAACAAACAAATCTTTCCTGGAGGAAGTACAGCCAGGATGCTCCTTGGAAGTGAGAATGGCCAGACTTTGTTTGACCTACAGTTGACATGTTGTCAGAAGGACCATTCCCTGGAGAAGTATATCATGCTTGGTAAAGTGGCGGGTGAACGAAAAAGGGGAAGGCTCTCAACAAGATAGATTGGCACAGTGGCTGGAATGAGGGTCTCGGGTGTAACAAGGATCGTGAGGCTGGCACGGGAATAGGCAGTGCTTCCTTCTGTTGTACATAGGGTTGATATGAGTCAGAGCCAACTCAGTGGCTCCTAACAACAACAAAAATAATTATATATAAATATGTGTGTGTGTGTGTGTCTGTGTGTATGTGTTTGTGTGTGTGTGTGTATATATATATATTACATGTATATAATGCATATATAAAAATATGTGTATGTATACATAGAGAGAGATCTAATGGTATAGTGGTTAAGGCACTTGGAGCTAACCACAAGGTCAGTGGTTCAAACTCAACAGATGCCTCAGAGAGGCAATATGGAGCAGTCTGTTTTTGCAAGGATTACAGCCTTGGAAACCCAATAGGCATCGCTATGAGTCAGAAATGACTCAATGACAGTGACTTTATATTATGTGTGTACGTGGGGTGTTTCATCACCCCAAACAGAAATTATGTTCTCATTTTTTATGTATTGGATTATCTGTGTTGTAAATACTCATCTCTATGCCTTTCTACTATCACATGTATCTACATTCTACTGTCCACTATCATATGGTCTACTATGTCAGGAATGACATATTGAAGAGAGATGGTATCACATTCATTTTGAAAAAACAACATTTGAAGATCTATCCTGAAATACAGTGCTATCAGTGATAATATCCACATGCCTGCAAAGAAGACCAATTAAAATTCTATTATTCAAATTTACACACCAAGCACTAAATCCAAAGACGAGGAAAATGAAGATTTTTGCCAACTTCTTCAGTCTGAAACTGACTAAATGTGCAATCAAGACCTATTAATTATTACTGTAGATTGGAATATGAAAGTTGGAAACAAAGAAGAATCATTGGTAGTTGGAAAATAATGGCCTTGGAGATAAACATGACTCCAGAGAGTCATCTTTGATAGAGTTTTATAAGAGCAACGACTTATTCATTGAAAATACATTTTTCAACAACAGAAATGGCAGCTATCCATCTGGACCTTGCCAGATGGGATCTAAAAAAATCAATCAACTACATCTGTGGAAAGAGGTGATGGAAAAGCTCAATGGCATGAGTCACAACAAGGCCAGGAGCTGACTGTGGAACAGCCCAGCAATTACTCACATGCGACTTCAAGTTGAAGCTGAAGAAAATTAAAACAAGTTAATGAAAGCCAAAATAAGACCTTGATCCCATTCTACTCAAATTTAGAGACCATCTTAGGAAGATTTAATGCAATGAACACCAATGATGAAGATCAGACAAGTTGTGAGATGACATCAAGAACATCATACATGAAGAAGGGAAAAGGGTTTTTTAAATAACAGCAAAACAAGAAAAGACCAAAACAGATGTCAGAAGAGATTCTGAAGCTTGCTCTTGAAAGGAGAGTAGCTAATTTGGAGAAATGAAAAAATGAAAGAGCTGAAGAGAAGATTTCATAGGGTGGCTTTAGCAGACAAAGTATATATATAAATGTTACAAAGTGCCGGAGTTAGAAAACCAAAAGGCAAGAACCTGCTTCATATTTTTCAAGCTTATGGTACTGAAGAAAAAATTCAAGCCTCCAGTTTCAATATTGAATGATTCTATGGATAAAATATTGAATGATGCAGGGAACATCAAAAGAAGGTGGAATGAATATACAGAGTCACTGTCCCAAAAGGAATTAGTCAGTATTCAGCTATTTCAGGGAGTAGCATATGAACAGGAACCAATGATATTGAAGGAGGAAGTCAAAGCTTCTGCAAAGGAATTAGCAAAAAATAAGGCTCTAGGACTTGACAGTATACCTGTTGAGATACTTCAATAAACAGATGCAATGCTGGAGGCTCTTACTCTTTCTGCCAAGTAGTTTGCAAGATAGCTACCTGGCCAACTCACTGAAACAGTTCCATATTTATGCCTATCCTAAAGAAAGGTGACCTAAGACAATGAAGAAATTTTCCAATAATATTAATATCATACACAAGTAAAATTTTTCTGAAGATAATTCAAAATTTTTTTTGAATTTGCAGCAGTATATTGACAGGGGACTTCCAGAAATTCAAGTTGGATTCCAAGGAGAACATTGAACCAGGTATAGCATCACTGACTTATGTCAGATATATCTTGAGTGAAAGCAAAGAATACTAGAAAGATGTTTATCATTGTTTTGTTGACTATGTAAAGGCATTCAACTATCTGGATCATAGTAAATTATGGTTAACCTTGCAAATTCCAGAACACTTTAATTGTGCTCACACAATTCTACATATATAGTCAGTAGAATTATTATGATCCATTGTCTTTTTTATGGATGTTTTTAAATATTAGTTCAGCCATACAAATGAAGAAAGTAAAGAAATATAAATGTAAAATACGAACGTCAAAAGAATCTGCAGTTACACCAGCGTTGGAGAAGGCTGATTCGCCAACTGGTGTTCCACAAGTGAATGATGATGGCACACGGAGTCAAGTAGGTCAGGATGAAGGAAGGTAAATGATCTACATTCTTTATTTCCCTGTGAAAGAATGTTATTGATTACTTTTTCTGGAAATAGGTGAGTGTAGTGTCGGGGCCAAGGCAAGAAAATACCAAACCATTTCACATGCTGCTGAAAGTTCATTAAGATGAGGATAAGTGACATTGACATGGAACATGTTCAATAAATGGTGGTTATGGAAGCCAAATGCAACTGATGAGTGTAGACATTTTTGCTAGGAAAGGAAATATCAAATTGGGTGATAACTGAAGAAGACGGGGTTTAAAAGAGTTAGTTTTATTTTGTGTTTCAAGATGGGTGCTTTTTAGAATATGTTTGTAGGCTGGTAAAAATGATCCAGCAGAGAAAGACATGTTTATTAAATTTAATTTTGTTTGAATTTCTAAGGAGTAGAAATCTTGCTGATTCAACTGCAAGATCTTTTAAAGATTTACAGTAATAGCCCTTACTACTTCTATTCATGGATAGTTGTGTGAGTTTTATTTATTTATTTATTTTGATTCTTATACTTGATTTGTTTTGCAACCTTGGCCATTTTTCATTTTTCTTTCCCTCCAGCATATATTGTTTTGTGATAAAAATTTGTTCACTCAGAATGGAATATTCTCAAATAATTGGAGATGCAGATGATGAGTTAATGATACATTATCATATGCTAATTTTAAAAACTATGTCATATTAAACATGCAAGCGCATAGGTCATACTGAATAATTTTTTTTTTCATACTGAATAATTTTTTATCACTCCTCGATGATTCAGATACTGCAGTGCTTTGACAGTATCATCATGAATGAGTATGATTCTGTAAAGTACTCTGAACTATCAGGTGATATCAACTTAATAGTTGTTAGATTCTAGGGGTAAGGAGAATTTTATGAATAATAGAAAAACAAACTGTTGGCAATCTGATATTAATTAATTTTGGATTACAAAGTTTTAAAAGTACAAAGCCTAACAGACGTTGACACATATCATGTTCTCAGTAATTGTTGAATGCATGCATAAACAATTGAATGAGTGAACACCTGTCAATGAGTTTCCTTTGAAAAAGGTAATATTAAAAATAGGTTTTTAACTTTGCCAGATTATAAAATATTTTATTTAAAAAAATATTTCCAAGATTCAGAAATTATCTGTAACTATAACCAGAAATGGAATGATAATATGGATTCATTTACTATGCTATTGCTTAAAAGCACTTAACAATTAATATTACTGACACAGTATATTCAGAAACACTTGCTTTGGAGATAAATTCCTGGGTTTTAATTCAGACTTGCATGCTGACCAGTTAGTTATATGGCTTTGGGCAAGTTGCTTAGGCTCTCTGTGCCTCAGTTTCTTCTTTTTTAAAATACCTACCTGTGATAGTTGAAGATGTGTCAACTTGGCTGGACTTCACTTGTGAGTGGTGGTTCCCATGATGGATCACATGACTGCGTCCTAAGCGGCCGGTCAGTCTAGGGGGAGTTTCCCCAGGGGTGTGGCCT